TGTATATATGTGTGTGTGTGTATATGTGTGTATATATGTGTGTGTGTGTATATGTGTGTATATATGTGTGTGTGTGTATATGTGTGTATATATGTGTGTGTGTATATATGTGTGTGTGTATATATATGTGTGTGTATATATATATGTGTGTGTATATATATGTGTATATATATATATGTATATATATGTGTGTGTGTGTGTGTATATATATGTGTGTGTGTGTATATATGTGTGTGTGTGTGTGTATATATATATATATATATATATATATATATATATATATATATATATATGTATATATATTACTACTTGTACTACTATTCCTACTTATCAGTTGTTCACTTATCGCAGGGCTTCAGGGTACGGATCCCCCGCAATAAATAAAAAAAAAAACTAAACAAGGAAATAAAATAAACAAATAAACAAGGGACTACTGTATACAGTGGGGAGAACAAGTATTTGATACACTGTTGATTTTTCAGGTTTTCCTACTTGCAAAGCTTGTAGATGACTGTAATTTTTATCATAGGTACTCTTCAACTGTGAGTGATGGAATCTAAAACAAAAATCCAGAAAAATACAATGTATGATTTTTAAATAATTAATTTCCATTTTATTGTGTGAAATAAGTATTTGATACACCAGAAAAATGAAACTTAATATTTGGTACAGAAACCTTTGTTTGCAATTACAGAGATCAGACGTTTCCTGTAGTTCTTGACCAGGTTTGCACACACTGCAGCAGGGATTTTGGCCCACTCCTCCATACAGATCTCCTCCAGAGCCTTCAGGTTTCGGGGCTGTCGCTGGGCCACACGGACTTTAAGCTCCCTCCAAAGATTTTCTATGGGATTCAGGTCTGGAGACTGGCTAGGCCACTCCAGGACCTTAAGATGTTTCCTACGGAGCCACTCTTTAGTTGCCCTGGCTGTGTGTTTTGGGTCGTTATCATGCTGGAAGACCCAGCCACGACCCATCTTCAGTGCTCTTACTGAGGGAAGGAGGTTGTTGGCCAAAATCTCACGATACATGGCCCCATCCATCCTTCCCACAATATGGTGCAGTCGTCCTGTCCCCTTTGCAGAAAAGCATCCCCAAAGAATGATGTTTCCACCGCCATGCTTCACGGTTGGGATGGTGTTCTTGGGGTTGTACTCATCATTCTTCTTCCTCCAAACATGACGAGTGGAGTTTAAACCAAAAAGTTCTATTTTTGTCTCATCAGACCACATGACCTTCTCCCATTCCTCCTCTGGATCATTCAGATGGTCATTTGCAAACTTCAGACGGGCTTTGACATGCGTTGGCTTGAGGAAGGGCACCTTGCGTGCACTGCAGGATTTTAGTCCTTGACGGCGTAGAGTGTTACTGATGGTTTTCTTTGAGACTGTGGTCCCAGCTCTATTCAGGTCATTGACCAGGTCCTGCCGTGTGGTTCTGGGCTCATTCCTCACCTTCCTCAAGATCATTGATGCTCCACGAGGTGAGATCTTGCATGGCGCCCCAGACCGAGGGAGATTTTCCGTTATTTTGTATTTCTTCCATTTTCTAATAATTGCACCAACTGTTGTTGCCTTCTCACCAAGCTGCTTGCCTATTGTCCTGTAGCCCATCCCAGCCTTGTGCAGGTCTACAATTTTATCCCTGATGTCCTTACACAGCTCTCTGGTCTTGGGCATTGTGGAGATGCTGGAGTCTGATTGATTGAGTGTGTGGACAGGTGTCTTTTATACAGGTCACGAGTCCAAACAGGTGCAGTTAATACAGGTAATGGGTGGAGAACAGGAGGGCTTCTTAAAGAAGAACTAACATGTCTGTGAGAGCCAAAATTCTTACTGGTTGATAGATGATCAAATACTTATTTCACACAATAAAATGGAAATTAATTATTTAAAAATCATACATTGTATTTTTCTGGATTTTTGTTTTAGATTCCATCACTCACAGTTGAAGAGTACCTATGATAAAAATTACAGTCATCTACAAGCTTTGCAAGTGGGAAAACCTGAAAAATCAACAGTCTATCAAATACTTGTTCTCCCCACTGTATATATCCAAGAAAGTTTTTTTTTTTTCAGCCATTGCTGCATGTCTGTCAGACTTTAGAGAAAAGCATTCATGTTACATTTTTGAACAATGTTATAAATAACAATTCAAACCAATATACTTGCTTTAATACTATTACCATTATCAATAAATGGTGTCTGTGGCAGCTTCCTCCTGCGACCTGCAGCGCTCGTGTCCCTGGTTGTGCTTGTCTGACAACGCTTTATGTTTAAACCCCATTTTCTCCTTCTGTACTTATTTACTGATATTCTTACATTAACGTTTTGTCCAGACCAGTAAAGCCATGGCCAGTTACGTTTTCTAACTGAACTAAGAATAATTGTCGGGACACTTTTCCTCCTGTACTCCTAAGTGTGTTCTCATTCATCGGCATTCTGCAGTTCTTCAGAAAAATAAGTTGTTTAAATATATTTTTCCTACAAGTTCCAGCTTTCAAATAAACAATTACATAAACAAATAAACAGTCCATGCTACTTGTGTGGCTGACTCCATCAATAAGCCAATTGTGTGTCATGTACAGTCTTGCGTTGAAATCCCACAAAATAAGACAGTCCGCAAAATCAAACTGCCAAGTAGTGCAGGACTACTGTAGTAGTAGTAGTGGTGGTAGTAGTAGTAGTTAGTAGTAGCAGTAGTAGTTAGTAGTAGCAGTAGTAGTAGTAGTAGTAGTAGTAGTAGTAGTAGTAGTAGTAGTAGTAGTAGTAGTAGTAGTAGTAGTAGTAGTAGTAGTATTAGTATTAGTAGTA